ATATAAGTTATAAAAGTGGAACATTTTGCTATATATTTATTACTAGTTCTGTCTGTGTACTGGAATAGTGCTTGCGACTTAAATAGGTGTTTTTGGCGCTAAGTAATTATTGTTCAGTGAAAACATGGCAACTGTTTATTAGAAACAGTGCATTAGCAAACAATTGTCATTTAGTTTTGATCTACTTAAAAAAAACTTTTGCTAAGAGTCTTTAGGAAGCGCACAAAGGATGCAAACTGCTGTTGTCCACAATAACGTGTTAAATTTTTTTATGAAGAGCAATACCTTTCGGATTGTTAAGTGCTGGAATAAATTTGCCTTCTTGTAGTCAGTAACTCTTGATGTCCTTTTTTTTTTGCCAGGCAGAATGAAGTACTATGGCGAGAAGTTGTCTCTCTCAGACAGAACCACTCCCAGCAGCAAAAAATTATCAACAAGGTTAGTTCATTGGTCATCCTGTCTTTAGAAACTGGTTATAGAAACACTTGCCTAGAGGATAACAAAAATTATTAGGAAAAGTGTGCGTATTACCCATCGCAACACTTAAATCAGATTATAGCTATAATTTGGTTAATTATTATTAACAACTTTCTTTATAGGGCCCAATATTATGCAGCCAGGAAAAACCATGGTATTATTTAAAAGGAACCATCAATCTATAAATATGGGAGCCACCATTGCTGACTTACTTTTGAAGGTGCAGGGACTGCCATTCTGATCCAGGCTTCACTACTTGATGATGGGAGTGGGCGATGATGCTATTGAGAAGAACAAGGGCTAACAATTATCTCCTGAGCATGCATCTTTAAAAAATTCAGCAAAGTTGGCTCCATGTTTTTAGATTCCAAATAGTAGATACATACAAAAAAATTATAAGAACATGGTGGAAGTGTGAGATTCCTGGAGATTGAAAAGGCACAGTTGGGTAGATTTACTAATTATGGCACGTGAATGTGATAACAGCTGATTAAACCAGTATAAGACTTCATCTAGTGGTTATGTTTCCAAAATATGTTCAGCCAAATAACATCTCTTTGGCAATCACTAAATATCAGATGTATGGGATGGCAAATTCAGTTTTAGTCCTTATCTGGCTGGCTTGGTATATGGACCTCACACAAACAATTATGTTTTACTGCATATGAACCAGAAAATATTCTCAGGTGCCATGTGTGACCTTTCAGATTTGGCTATAGGCATCAATAGGCAAATACAGATTAAGTAATAAGTAAGTATTAAGTAATTGCATCTGCTGTTACACAGCTACCTTTAGGGCTTATAAAATGGGGTGCTTACAGCCAAGCTTTGGGGAGCCAGGGGGCCATTACACATTTTCTGTATGGGAGTGTCAGTAATATATAAGTGCTTTCTCTTGACAAAACAAGTCATGAACCAGCTCTCATGGGTAGCAGAGTAAATCAAGTCTACTATCTAAGTGATACATTAGACACTAGGTAAAAGTGTTGGCAATGGCTTGAGGTACAAAGTTGGACAAATGTCCCTTTCATGGTTGTAATATTCTCCTGTGAGCCAAAAGTGCACCACACAAATCATCCTTCCGCAGTGACTGGTGGGCATGGTAAAAGGTGTGTGTCATCTTATAGGACATGGTCAAATATGGAAAGGAAGGAGCCAAAGTCAGCAATTTCACAAAGAATGAACTGTGGCGGATAGAGAGAAAAAAGCAAGGCCGGGATGAGGAGTAGGAGGAGGGAGGAGACAGTGAGACCAGATTGTGGAAGAGTGGAGAGGAGGCAATAGGGCTTGATAGTGGAGATAAGTGAGACTGTATTATAATTAGATATATAACCTTTGCTCGTCGTTGCAAGCCAAAATCAGTGCTGGAAAGTTTTCCTAGGCCAGCTGCTGGGATTGCATCTCTAAACAGGGAACAGATATCTATATAATACAAGCAGATGTCACCTACTGCAGGTCCCACTCTGATTAAGGCCTAAATGGAGGCCAGTTAGGGTTACCAGCCCAACATATCTTATTTATACAGGCCTGGGGGCCTCCATCATCCATCCTAGTCTTCCATTGTTTCACACATATTAATATCCTTTATTTCATAAATTACATGGCACGGGAGATAAATACATACATTTAAAAAAAGTGGTTTTTGAGGGTCTGTTTAAGAGAACATCTAATATGATGATGAAAATAAAACCTAAATATAGACGGAGGACGAGTTGTGTAGTGTTTTGAAGGCAAGGCACATTACTTTGAATTTGACTCGCAGACTGACAGGAACCCAATGAACAGATTGACAGATAATGGTGTTGGATAGGATGTGGTGGTAGAGGTGGATATGTTTTGCAGCAGCATTCAAGTATAACTAAAGCAAAACATATTCTTAGATTTGGATAGAGTGGTGATGAGAGAGAACTGCTGTTGGGTTTTTATTACTGCTTGTGTATCCATTAGGGAGATTCATTCTCTCTCATTATCTTGATCACCAATGTCACAGGGAATAAGAGCAGGGGTACATTAAAAATTTTGAGTTTCCACTAGAACAAGTATAGAAGGGAAATCATGCAATGGGGTTGCCTGTTCTCATGACAACTGTCTAAGGGGGGATTTCCCTCACATTGGAAAGATATCCTCTCACTTTCAGATGGCAAAAAAAAAGGATTTGCAAGGATTACCTTTTATAGGCATCCAGCAGGCAGAAATTGTCTCGGGAGGACCTCACTGTCATGCACGCATACTTCTATGTCCTTCAAGCCAGTCAATTTACATGCTAGAGTTCCAGGTCTCGCCATACTTCTTGGTGCTCCAGCGGTTAACGTTAGGCCCCATTACTATAGTCCAAACTTCACTCCCTCTCCTCCTTACTATTCACAAAGACACGGCTCCAGGCTCCGTTTTGTGAATGTCCAGGAGGGGTGGGGGGCAGGCATGTGACTGGCTGTAAGAACTGCAGGTCTCATTGACCCCCACTGCAGAGTACCCAGGAAGTACACCTGGCATGTAAAATAACTGATTTGCCGGACATAGAATATACCAGCATGACAGTGAGATTCTTCTGAGAAATAAGAATGTCATGCTAGAAAACATTGAAGGCAGTCCTTCCTTGATTTGAGCTCTAACCTTCCCCCTATTCTATCCTAAAATGAAAAAAAAAAAGGTTTTTGGCTTTAGTTATACGTTAATCATTGATTGTAGAGGTAAGAGTCTAGGTAGTGTAATCGTGGACCCAAGGATACTTGAAGCGGAACTAAAACTTCCAATCCTTTAACCCTTTACAGCCAAGGAAGGTGACATCTTAGTTGCAATGGTGCTGCACAGTACAGCTATGACGCCAGCCATTTGAGGGCCTAAATGTTTGGTTGAGAGCTGAAATGAGCACACTGGCCACCTTGACAGGTGACATGCCTTGAAAATAACAGTTTTGGGAGACCATTAAATTGGTGGGTAAAGTTCCACTTTAGGTTGTCAGGGCGAGAGATACTGGTTATCGTGTTATATGGCCTGTGTGAAACAAAAGAAATAAACATGAAAAGAGTTTTCAGGTTGTTGTCACCAAATACAGTGCCACAGTTTTAAAGTAAAGTGATTCTTGATGAAATATGCTGTTTTTGTGGTTCTTAGACCACACAAAAGGGTGAAAGGGTAATGAGTTCTGAAACTAATATCTGATGCTGTGCTTTTTCCTGACAGTTAATCCAGTTTCTGTTTGGGCAGCTGCCTCCGGGCCCCTCCAGCAGTGGGATAAAGAGAAAGATGTGAGTGCCTGCAGGAGATCACCACCCTCACAAAAACCCCCCACCAAAAACACAAGCTCAGCGAGGCCCTCGGGTGCAGGTCACCTGATCCGGTCACCCTGGTGATGAGCATTGAATGGACCTGCTGAGTCAGATCTGCTGACCGCTGGCTTTCAGAATACTGTGTACAAAATGCCCTCTCAGCTCCTGAGACTATTGTGGGGACAGAGAGAGGGAGAAAAAAGAGGGACTGGCATCCCAGAAACACTCAGCAAAGCCAAATGTCAAGCAAAGAAATACAGGAGATATACCGTAGCTATGATGATGTGGAAATAATCCACGAGACATTACAAGACATTTCCTAAAAAAGATGGTCTGCAAAAACAGTTTTCACTTCAGGGATAGCCAGTGACAATGCAACACAGTCAGGAAAACGGGATTGCTGCAAGGTGTAAAATGTGCCTGAAAACACAGTACAGGACGAATGCAGCTATTGCACAAAATGTGACTATCAATTAAGTAAAATGCTGACACTTACTGTGTGATGAGAAAAAAATCTATTTTGCACACTGTTACTGTATGTAATAAACTTTTTTTTTCTCATAAGTAAATACTAAGCAGATGCAATATGACAAATGTGCTCTAGTCAGTAGTGATGGTAATTACAGTCCTGTGCATATGTCCCTTTATACATAATAACAGCTTGATATTGGCAGTAAAATACCCAACAATAATTTTCACAACACAAAATTCACCAACCATGACAAAATAATGCTCCAATAGGTCCATTGATATGTAAAAACAGGGGTCCTCAAACTTTTCAGTATGAGGGCCGCATTACATGAATATTCCTGAACATTCACAGGGTGAAAAAAATCAGTTTTGTAAATGATTGAATACAATTCAAATAATTGAATAAGTCCCCTCTTACATCCAGGAATGATAATCAGAGTGCCCCGTTACACCCAGGAGTACCCATCAGAGACCCTCCTGGCGTCCAGGAGTACTGATCAGAACCCCCTTACATTCAGGGGTCTCCAGCAGAGTCCCCTACTTACATCCAGGAGTGCCAACAGAGTTCCCTCTTACATCAAGGAGTGCCCAGCAAAGTCCCCACTTACATCCAGGAGTACTGGTCAGAGCTCCTCTTAAACAAAGAGTGCCCAGCAGAGTCCCCCCTTGCATTCAGGAGTGCCCAGCAGCGCCTCTCCCCCTTACATCCAGAAGTGCCCAATAGTCCCTCGTTACATCCATGTGTGCCATGCAGAGTCCCCTCTTACCTTTCAGGTGATAAAACAGAGGATGGAAGCCAGGAGGTGGTGATAAAACAGAGGATGGAAGCCAGGAGGTGGAGCAGGTCTGGAATGAGGAAGTCTGGACCTCCAAAAAATGCTGGGAGGGCAAAATCACTTAATTGGTTGCTTGGATGTGGGGGAATAAAGGGAGTAATCTACACTAGTGAAAGTCACACCTGGCTGGCAGTGGATGTATTGGTCTCTGTATTACTATATGCTTCCACTACCAGCCAGCTTGCCACCAAGAATCATTTTACTTTAGATGAAAAAGTGTTAGTAGCTATATTACTATTAAAATTAGTGTGTGTGTAGTATTTTGTTTTGCTGTAATATGAGTATAAGTTTGCTTGTGGTAATTATATGGACCAATCATGCCCATACTCCCTGGTTTTAGAGGTTTAAGGTACATGTGAACCCTAACTGAATTACATAAATTTGTGGTGCATTGTAAAAGCATTGACCTGTAATTCCTTCACACACCAAAAAATTAACTTGTTAACAATCTCCTTTCTACATATTTTTATGTTTGCCTGGTAGTCTGAGACAGTCATTGTCCGGGTAGTTTCAGTCACTGGACTCACAGAAGCACTTTCATTTATGTCCTCTCTAAAGCCTATCCTTGGTGGATGACGTTGGAGTGGACAATAGGACATCTTAACAGTGCTGTTTAGAATAAACAGTAAGGCTATGGACCACTTGTGGTACACATCGCACATTTCTGCAAGTATTGTGTTAACATAGTGTTAAAAGAGAAACAACAAAACATTCCTACTTTGCACAATATATTGTATGAACCAGTTCTACTACTTTAAACTTGATCCTTGACACAAAATTCCTGCTGGATTTGTTTCCCCAAAAGGCATGGCCACTCACCCCATTGTCTATCAGTCATTTTAATTAACTCATGTTTATAGTATGGTGAAAGGTTAACGTGTTTTGAAAAATTTCACTTTATCTGCCTGTCAAGAAAAGTGTGTTAACAAAGAGGTCCCATAACCTTTCCAATGGCACCCTGACCTAATGCGATCTGCCTGAATTGACAGATACAGCTTATACACAATAAAAACTTTCAGCCTAGAAAAGTGAGAGATTAGCTTTAGGTCAGTAAAAGATTTCCTAATATGGTAATGAGTGTAAGGGTAGCCATATACTTGAAGCTTTCTCTCATTCAGCCCAGCTGGCTATTATACTCAGACTTGCATACAGCACTTGCAGCTGTCTGAATACTTGAACAGTGACTGCATCTTGTTGGAGCAGTTGCTACTTGGTCAACAATTTTCCACCCAGCTCCATCGATTTTTCAATTAAAGTTTGGCAAGACGGGTAGTGCCGACATGGCCACACATGGCTTGATTTTCTGCCAATTGAGCAGGAATAATCTAAGATTCAAGACATGTATGGCTACCTTTTAGGACGTATTAAAGATAGGGAGGGGTTATGTGTGCATGGCTAGCGTAAGCTAATTCAGATTGTGTATGGCTAGCCTAAGTACTTGCTGCCATACCTCTTCAACAATACTATATTCCAACTATATATTCCACTGTTAAAGTCAAATTTGAGACCCCCTCCCCAAACTATATACTGTATTTGTTATGTGTTCCCCTTCATACAGCATAATTATAAATAGTATATATATATATATATATACACACACACACACGCATGTGGTGCATTGTGCTGTGCTATATTATGTTAAACGCACAGATGCCATGCCTTTATCTCAGCACTATAGTGTCAACTGACCCTAAGAATGTTATCAGCCGTACAAAACTGCATGTTGAAGAATAGGTACATTTAACATTTCTGTTCTTCTGCAGACCTCTCATGTTGGATGATGGAAACTCCGCCTTACCGCTATCCAAATTTAGTAGACATCTCCCAGTGGACTCACTGCAAGACCCATATTACATCCAATCGGTGAGTCTAATTTTCTAGTATTTTGAACCTCAAGAGCTGAGAGCTATAACCAGATTCCCCAAGAATGTAAGAAATCGGTAGGGGTTTAATTCCTGCACTTGTCAAGCACTGAAATGTCAGCTTTGGTTAGACTTATAGATAATTGGACAGAGTAATTCATATCTAAAAGTCATTGATTTCTTTACAAGCCTCTAAATGTAAGAATTAACTAAAAGAGGCATTCATATCACTCAATTTTATTCTCACACATACCTAGATATATAAATCTGATGTTATCAGCTAACAGTAAATGTCATGTCAAATAATCACATACCGGTACTTGCTATTAGTAGTCACTGTTATATTTGTTTTAGCTACTATGTCTTTCCTTTTCCAGGAGAGCATACAAACTGGATAATGAAGTAAAAAAGTGGGTCAATGCACCATTAACAGCATAGTATAAGGCCTCCTCTCAGCACTGACAGCCAACAACTTTGTACTGACATAGAAGCTAGGGCACACATTATTCTGTCCAGTAGGGCATCTCTGTGAGACATTATGATATTAGACAATGTTAGCTCAGGAACTAGCCAAAGGTGCAATGTTGGAGCTCAGTGTAAATTCTTTGTGGATGCTATCTTCCCATCTGTCACCCATGGCAGTGGCAGACGAGTGGAATTATCAGAAATTACGCCATAACCAAAAGTTACAGTCAGGTAAATATTGCACTGTATGCTAAAATTACATACTGGGTCTCTTTTATCACTTAACTATGACTAAGGGATTTTGCTATCCCTATGTCTGGATCAGCTTGTTAGACAAGAAAATAACCTGTCACATGTAATATTTTTTGACCTATTTAGTAACTCCAGGCACTGCACATTCCCGAGAGCTGTACATTTTGTATACAGAAAGGTAGTGTATACCATCAGCCCTTAAACCTCTTGACACCACTACAGTAGTACAATAAATATCTTCTTTCATTTGTTGTGTAGATGCAGTAGAAGCCACCTATTTAATTTCTATTCAAATGTTAGCTTCTGTATTTGAGAACAGATTATAGTGTGTCCCAGTATTTCAAGTGGGTTAAGAAGCCTACTTAATCCTTATAAACACCCATACTTTTAACTCATGCTCTCATTGTTTACAGTCACATATGTGCACATAACATTGGTCATAGGTCTATGTCAAGAAGTGAATACATTACCTTGAATATGTATGAACATTTACATCCATTACAGCTATATTACAGGATAGTGGTGGAATGAAAAGTACAAGCATGCATATGTACTTGGTTTGGGCCCCTTTTGCAGCACTTACTGCAATTACTTTTGCACGATATTCTAATCGAGTTTCACCTGTATATATGTTTAAAGTGTGCAGTTATATCAGAGTACCCCCATCCAAGACCTGCCCTTCTAATTTTTTACTTACCTGTCCTAAGCTTGTACTCTATCTCTAAGCTTGAAGTCTATAGGAATAAATGGGATTGCAGAGCACATGTCCTGGCATGGCTAGGAAGATGTATCAATGTGTGGCTGGATTAGGGACAGGTAAGTATTATACTGGAAAGGGGTGGGGGTTGCTTCAATATAAGTGTAAATGCACAAAAGATGCAGTTACACTTTAAAACCTGTAAAGACCTTAGGCATTGTTCAAGATGGCAGAGAGTCTCTAATAACTTGGTTTACAGTACATTTAGTGGTATTTTCCCTCAAGTATTTTCCCTCAAGTAAAGTCCTGAGGCTTTGTACGCAATCTGTGTGCATAGGGTGTAGTACTTCTGATTACATATCTAGTGTTTAGAAAGAGAAATGTTTGACGTATACCAGTTCCTTAAAATGGAATACACAAATGATGACCCTGTATGAAAAGCAATATACCTATATGATATCATGTATTTACATAAGCCCAATATGTGTTATAAGTATAACTGTATTTTAGAATATGTATAGTGGTTAGCACTTCTACTTTGCCGCACTTGTGTCTCCAGCTTAAATACTGTTGAGGATGCTATCTGAATGGAGTTTGCATTCTCTCTCTGTTCATGTGTGGGTCTCCTCACACACTCCAAAGGTATCCTGGTAGGTTTGTTGGATCCTGCCTAAATTGGCTCTAGTTAGTATTGTGTGTGTGTGTGTGTATGCATGCATGTGAGATAAGCACCTTAGCTTGTAAGCTACATAGAGCAAGGACTGATGTTAATGTACAGTATGTAAAGTGCTGTGTAAATTGTCGGCGGTATGGTAAATGCGTATAAAAATTAATATTTAATTAAATGTTCCTTGTGCAGCCGCCCACAGATCCAGCATCCTCTTTAAGCAGTCCTGCCGTTGCTGCTGGGCCTATCATTTCAGATGTGACTGAGGCTCTGCCTGCCAACTCCGTAACTGAACAGCCAAATGCAGATGGAGAAAGGTAGCGAGTGCAAAGGAGTATTAAATGCTATGTATTGAATGTGTAAAGATGACAATGATGACTGAATGCAACCTGAACAAGATGCATATACAATTAATCTGAGAAATGTTGCAACATAACGAAGGTGAGCAGGGATAAAACAAGAGCCCATGGGATTGATGCAGTAATTGAATGTATCCGCGGCTAAGAGATCATTGGATTGATGCAGTGTTTGAGTACAAGGAAGTATTAATAGAGCCATTGGTAATAATGTTTTGTGTGTTTCCTCTCTTCCTCTGGACCTGATCACTAAAAGGTGTGGGTTATTAAGTTGGCATGTGTCCAGAGCACAGAGGAAGTGGGGCTTCAAACTTAAAGGAGAACTATGGGGTTAAGTCTTTTCCCCATAGTTCTCCTTAGGGTAACGAGAGGACACAAACTAGCGTCCTCCCCTCACCCTAGGCTCAGTATATCCCGTCTCAGTATACCGCGAGCTACAGCTCACGGTATACTGAGACGCCGCAGCTGAAGCGGATCCCGACAATTGTGACTGAAAGCTGGCTCTGCCTATAAACAGAGCCAGCTGTGCCCTCCCCCGTCCGTTCCGCCAGTCAGCGCGGATCGGAGCGGGGGGGATCCAGCCCCTCCCCTGTCACGGCTCTCTGCGGGAGGTGAGCGAACGCCGGTATGTGTGTGTATAATGCTTTGGCAAATGCCAAAAATGATATCAGTAGCATTACCAACATTCTTATTTAAATGTACTTTATAAATCAAAACTAATTCTGATAGACATACCTACCTTTTTATAAACCCAGGCCAATTTTTAGTTATTAGAGATCAGGGATGTGCGGTCAGGGGTGGCAGAGCCTCACCTAGAATTATGGAGGAAAAAGCTGTAAGCTTCAAGTCTGAAGCTGACAGCTTTTTCTCCATTCAGATCGGCATCTAACAGGTTACAGAGCAGGGAAATCCTCCCCGCTGTGTAACCTGTCATGGATGAGGCGCTGCCTGTTAAGTACAGGCAGCGCTGCATCCGGCTTTTGACAGGTAGTTAGTGAGGGACAGGGAGGCTCCTCCTTCACACTAGCTTGGGGATAGGTGGGGCTTTGGGAGGTGGGCGGGGCTTCGATCAGTGGGGGGCAGGGCTTCAGCTGGCAGGGGAATGCCTCACCCGGAATATGAGGTACCGCACGTCACTGTTAGAGAAACTATATTGTTTTGTATGTCTTCCCTAAAATTACTTTCAAATAACACACAACATCAGTGAAGCTCACAGGTCTGTGGTTACTCAATTCAAGCCTTTTATCCTTTTTACTTAAGGGTTTTACATCTGGTGTATACCAATCTAGAAGGACAGCCCAAGTTGAAACAGAGTCCTAGTAAAATAACATAGATCTGTTTCTAAATTGTTGAGCTTACAACTTTGTGTTATATAGCCATTGACCCAAATGCTTATTCATATTTAGGAACAAATGTCTCCTACTCATTAAAGAAGAACCCATCAGTCCTGGACTAAAGGGATCAACAGACACAGATATGTCTTTAACAAGTTGCAGTGCATGCTCAGATCCCCCAGTGTTGCCAGTCGCAATGGTTCAATCTATACTGGAAGGTAAAGAGAGCTGCAGCCCACCCCAACCCTCAGGATCTCAGCAACTAGAGGCACGGGGACGAAGGAATCCACTGGAGAGGTCAGTGGCACCACAACAAAACTAAAAATTTACTTTTATTCTATGAGCTCAGTCCATATATACAGTTAGTTATACTGGATCACTGGCTAGATTTTTGTCTGAAAGTATCTGTACAGAGGAGATAACCTACTTTATTGTCCCAACTTACCTTTTTACTGGGTTTTAAGGTGAACTTTGCTGATCAGTATGTCTTGAGTTGTAAGTATCCAAGACAAATAGGGGAACAGAGCTGCGGAATTTTTTATCTAAAGCTGAGTATACACGATTAGTATTTTGTTTTTCTTTTTAACTTTTGTTCGATTTGCTAGTAATTAACAGGGTCAATTCGACTATGAATTTCAACTGTAATGACAAAAAAAATATGAAGGAGCAGGATGGAATTTTTTTGTGAAAAATACTAAAATGTGGTTTTCGTTCGGGAAACTATACTTATTCCAAAGTGGAATGTTAAAATCAAACAAACATTTGAACAACATTCATCAGGTTTCTGTCATATCAAATGTTCTGAAGATATTTTTCATATAAAAGTTCATACAAACATTTACCAGTGTATACCCAGACCTAGGGTAATCAGGGCTTTGGAGGTCTGTCGGCCAGTCTTGGAGTAAGTCAACCAATGGAGTAAGGAAAACATACAGTATGTGGAGAGTCTTGCAGAGGTGAATACATTCAGTATTAATAGATATACCTAAATTCTTGCTTTCCTTGTAGAACATGCTGCTTCTGGCTCTCATTGATGCTAGCCACATGTTTGAGGGTTTAGGCTCTTGGTCACATGATCTTAGCCTTCTTAAGCTTTTAGACATGTGGATAGCACTAAGGAGGATCTGGAGCAGCATTCTCTAAGAGAGGTAACTATTTCTGCCGTTTTGTTAGTCTTTGTTTATCCACCCAAACAAGACTGTTAACACAACTTTATATACCATTTTAAGTATAGGTCCACCTTTTATGTAATACAGTCAATAGGTAACAAAAATAAAATCTATGCAATTCGAATATGAAAGGCAGAGCAGTTAACCAGAACAACCAATTATATTCCATGATTCATTTTCCTTTCATAGGATGAGATCCAACTATGAAAACTGGATTGCGCTCCTTTTGTTTCACTTTTCACAAATTGGCATCTGCTTTTCTTATAAATTAGTAAAAACAGCAGGAATGGAATTTTACATTTCCTACTAAACCAGTGGTTCTCAACCTGTGTAACCTCAGGACCCACAGTTGTCCTAGGTCATTAAGTCGCGAGCCGAGTCGCACTGCAATAGAATGCACGGCATTGTGGTACAGCGCATTCCGGTGTGGGTGATTGAATTGTGAGTAGAAGGTGTGCTTGGGGTCCCATTTAAATGCATGGCAATGCAATGCACTTCCCACACCAGAACGCGTAGTAGGTGCGATTGCATGGTACAGTGCGTTAAATGCACAGGACTGTTAAATTAACGCACTGTACTACTGTGAATGGGCCCTCAAAAACACAATCTCCCATACACACATTCCAAACAAAATTATTATTTTTCCTATTTTTTTTAAAGATCCACCTAGTCTCCCTAGCTTATGAGAACTGGAGTGGATCCCCAGCCTGGGGTCCAGTGTGGGCTGCTGTGCTATGATGGAGCTCCATCCATATGTGCATTGCTTGTACAGCTCCCTTGCTGTCAGGGCCCGTCAGTGAAAAAAGGTATGGTGGATCACAGCTGCGGTTCCAATGGTTGTTTTATGCGGTTGTCAGGCTAAAATCCCAGGCGGCTCTCTCAATCACAAACGGAGAGTTTGGGATTTAGTCATCATGGACCGCTAAACAATAATCAAATAATAGGAGAAGTAGTTCAAAAGAATATTAAATCATATTCCTCATTTAGGCAATCCTATCTGGAATTGTGGTATAATCGCATAAGGCAGTCTCTATGTCAAATAACAGAAGCAATTCACTTTGGACAGCGTAGGTGGAATTGTATTGCAGTGAAAAGAGTTGATACCGTGAGTCTCCACTAGGGGCAGCGTATAGGAACCAACACAAATGCAGAGTAGACTTTAGCAGATACTTGCGGTTTGGTTGTATGAGCGATCAGCTGCATTCAAGAGGAGTCCAGTGGAGGCTGGCTGCTGGGGATATGTTAGGATCCGTTCGGCGAGGTTCGAGGCAGGTTGGAGAGGTTCCTGGAGTGTTTGGGCAATTATCCCAATAATCGAACACTCCACAGCATTCCCGGCAGGTTTAAATAGCCCGCGGCCGTGACGTCACGCGGCTTACTTCCGCGTTCCAGCTTGGAACGCACAATAGCTTCCGTCATGGGTGAGGAGGCCTGCGGCGGTCTCCCCCGCCGATGTGTTCCAGCCTGGAGCGCAGTCGGGGAGAGCCGCGAACCCGAGGGACATTACACTTGCACACCCTGTAGAGGTGCTGGCAGCCAGAATGTGACGTCACTGAACACGGGGTTGTGGGTCACGACCCACCAGTTGAAAACCAAGGTACTAAATGATCTCTGCTACCTTCTGAATATTTCACAAATTGGCATTGGCTTTTCTTGTAAAATTAAATTCCTGCTTTATTTTACTAATATGTATTCCCAACTGAATAATGATCTGAATAATGGGAACCCTCTCTGATGCTCTTGTTGTTATTTTTTCAGACAAGAGCTTCCAGACACCTTGGATAATACTGATGTTAGTTTGGAAGGGCTTCAGCTGTTGCTTAGAAGTCAACAGTATAACCTGGATTCAGCTGCTGTTCTGGATGTGAGTACGTTATCCTGAAAGTCTATGGTCAGCTTTAAAATTTACAATGTATTAATTACTGAGGTATCTGATAAAAGTGGAAGCTTTTGTCAATAAAACAATGGGATAAGAAAATAGGTAACAGATGTGTTGCAACTGTGCCCTTGCTCCAAGGTGTCAAGACTGCCTCCCTTGTGAAAATCAAATGCCCTCCTCACTTCACTTTTTAATCACCTTAAACAAAATCTGTACTTCAAAAAAGTGGAGGCTGTCCTTGTAGACCTCCCATTTTGAGAAAGACTGCCTGGTTGGCATGCTGATTCAGTGGCTTCCTTAATTTTGGTGATAAGTATGCAGATCAGTTCTGCCTTTACTTACACTATATTGCCAAAATTATTGGGACACCCCTCCAAATCATTGGCTTCAGGTGCTCTGTGAAATTTCCTTGCTACTAAATATTCCACATTCAACTGTTAGTGGTATTATAACAAAGTGGAAGCAACTGGGAACAACAGCAACTCAGCCACAAACTGGTAGGCCACGTAAAATGACAGAGCGGGGTCAGTGCATGCCGAAGCGCACAGTGCGCCAACTGTCTATAGAGTCAGTAGCTACAGACCTCCAAACTTCGTGTGGCCTTCAGATTGGCACAACAACAGTGCATAGAGGGCTTCATCGAATGGGTTTCCATGGCCGAGCAGCTGCACCCAAGCCTTACATCACCAAGTGCAATGCAAAGCGTCGGATGCAGTGGTGTAAAGCACGCCACCACTGGACTCTAGAGAAGTAGATACGTGTTCCCCGAAAGTGACAAATCACACTTCTCTGTCTGGCAATCCAATGGACGTGTCGGGGTTTGGCGGTTGCCAGGAGAACGGTACTTGCCTGACTGCATTAAGCCAAGTGTAAAGTTTGGTGGAGGGGGAATTATGGTGTAGGGATGTTTTTCAGGGGTTGGGATTGGCCCCTTAGTTCCAATGAAAGGAACTCTTAAGGCTTCAGCATACCAAGACATTTTGGACAATTTCATGCTCCCAACTTTGTGGGAACAGTATGGGGATGGCCCCTACCTGTTCCAACATGACTGCACACCAGTGCACAAAGCAAGGTCCATAAGGACATGGATGAGTGAGTTTGGGGTGGAGGAAGTTGATTGGCCTGCACAGAGTTCTGACCTCAACCTGATAGAACACCTTTGGGATGAACTAGAGTGGAGACTGCGAGCCAGACCTTCTTGTCCAACATCAGTACCTGACCTCACAAATGCGCTTCTGGAAGAATGGTCAAACATTCCCATAGACACTCCTAAACCTTGTGGACGCCTTCCCAGAAGAGTTGAAGCTGGTATAGCAGCAAAGAGTGGGCCAACTCAATATTGAACCCTACAGACTAAGATTGGGATGCCATTAAAGTTCATGTGCGTGTAAAGGCCGGCGCCCCAATACTTTTGTCAATATAGTGTATATTGTGTAATCTGTGTGCCTATTCTAGCTCAGTGACTCAGAGTACTAAAGATAAAGTAGGAAAATGGCTCCAAAAATTTAAACCCATAAGAATGTTAGGTGTAAATGATTGTCTTTTAATTGGAATTGAAAGCCAACACGTTTTGAGTTAAAAGGATCTCTTGGATGTGCAGTGCCTGATTTGGAAGAGAAAAATTTAGCTGCTATTGCATGCTGTCTTCTGAAAAGTCAGGAATGCTTCTGCAGGAGCTGAAGAAGTGGAATTATCTTACCCTTGAAACACATTGGCTTTCACATAATAATAAAAGAGAACCATATGCACCTAAAAACCTTAAATTGTACATCTTTTTAGCTTTTTTCTTCTTCATCTTAAGTTTTCACCAAAAGTCCCCCAGTGGGTGAAGGGAAATTCTGATTTTGGCACAGCATAACTGCTTCCTCAGTTACATCTCTACTTTTGTCCAAACCTTTCTCAGATGGTATTAAAGGCAGAGACAGCCAGGCAACTGTTATTCATAGAAGGTGGTTAGCAATGACAATAGGCATATTTTCTAATCTGACCATACATATCCTGCACACTCCTATCCGGAACATATGGCCCACTGTCATGACCGCCACAATCCTGTCCTGCACATAAGGCCCACCTCCTCATTCCCGTCCTGCATATATGGCCCACTGTTGAATCCTTGACATTCCTGTCCTGCTCATAACACTTTACAAGCCATGTACTCAAGGGACAATGAAATAATGGTAGTCCTGAGCAAATATATGCAGGATGAGGAAATGTTAACACACTCTTGGGAATATGCAGAAAATCCAATAAGGCATCCACAGACTGAAATTATGACAATAAAAAAAGAGAAGGAGCACACGGATCTTGTGCAATAAAAAAAAAAGATTAAACATTTACTGAATCAAAACAGTGGGTGGCAACTGACTTTTTCTTTTTTTAAATAATAAGATTTTATTTCAATTTTGCAATGTACAAAAATACAAGAACACAGAGAAACATAATACAGACATGTCCGGTCATCCACCTAGTCCCATCGTAGGCAGTCACATTCCATTTCTTTAGAACATGCACAGTGGGTAGATATGCATATGCTCTCTCAACTAATACTCTGTAGTCGCATGTAATGTAGTGGGGCTGTCGCACATATCAAAAGGCATGCGCCTTATTTTGTGTACTGCACACCTCTCATGGAGTGCGTGCGTGCAGAGCATACGGCCGTGCTGCATCCCAACGGACCAGACAACATACGACAACATACAATAACAAACGGGGGGTTAGGCACACACGGGACTCACAACTGGGGGGAAAGGGACATACAGGGATGGACATCACAGAGAAAACACAGGGGAGAGGGGAGGCTCCATCGAATCTAGCATTCCAGTTAGGACCGCAGGGGCATTAGGTAGTTGCAGTAGAGACAATATCCCAGTGCTCGCCCAACAGGAGAAACCCAGACCCTTTATAAGGCAACTGACTTTTTCTGCTTGAAACAGTGCACATCAAGCCAGGGGTGAATGTGTTCAGATACAGCTGCCACTCCTGAGGACAGGACCCGCTGTGGAGATCTTGAAACCAGCAGTTTCCACAATCACTTGGGTGCACCTCTAGGAAAAGTGTACCATCTGCACACCTCTACTGCCCATTCTGGAACAAGAAACGTTTGCTAGCTGTGGAAAAATGAATGATTTACACTAAAATACATAACCACAAAGTACCTAATTGTGAGGCTATACACTACACCAGGCCTCAAAATTTCCACTCGCCCCCTCGCAATTGGCGAGTGAAAATTGCAGGGGGCGAGTGGAATCTCATCGGTCTGGTGGCGAGTAACTTTTAAGGCCTGGCTAGTAGCTCAGAACTTGACATTTTTTACAGGTTTTATGCTTTTTGTGTTATAGTGTAGAATAATATATACTACTTTTTTCAGGTTTTCAGTGCTGCTCTGTGTGTGAGTGAATGGAGTATTCCAGCCATGGACACCAGTCTGTCACCGGTGAGAACCTTTTAATTAACATGTTATTTGATAGGGAAGCGTGAGATGAATCTCTTCAAGCCCTAAAGTGTCATTCCAATCTAACCTTTTTTTAGACAGAATGGAGAAGAGTTAGAACCCTCGCCAGGGTTTATTGAGGTGCCCCCCACTTCCTATCTTGGTCAAGAAGTGGAATAGATCACCCCAGCTGTGACAGGAACAGCACAAAGATCTGATAGTGGTTAATTTCCTTCCCACATCACTAAAAATCAAATTTATATTGCTGTCTATATCCCAAATGGAGATATTTCTCATTTTCTGTCTTAGTGACCACTATCACTGGCACAAGAGGTGAAGGAACTCCTACCCAGCAGGGACAGCAATAACATTTGGCAAGAGGTTCTAAGTAAAAAAGATTTTTGAAAAGTCTGACTAGTTGTGCTTCGGCTGAATTTCCGAACCAGAAGTTCCATTGAAGTTAATGTAAATCTGAACCTGGCTACAACAAGTATTTATTACTGAGTAGTAAATGATGCAAAATAGTGCAGAATGATTTGTGAAGCTCCTGGTAGCCCTGTCTCATGAGATGATGGGGCCAAGAAATATTCTACCAGGGATACTAAGATGAAAGACTTGGTAGGTGGACTTGGTGGCACTACTAGTCAAGTTGAGGGTGCTCAGGCAATAGCAGAAGGCAATATAAGACAAAATTAACCTTTGAAGCAGCCTGCGGTCACGTTCAGAAGCCTTTTAGAAATCTGAACAATGGAATTTTTATTTGGCTTTTCAACTCTGTGATATTCACTCCCGATGTAATGTTATTCAAAATTCTTAACTGTAGTTCTAATACATCTTCACTCTATTGAAAATAAAATTACGTGGAGCCATATTTTATACATACTCAATAAAGAACAGGTATATATTCAATCTGTTCAGTCTAACCTATATTTAGCAGCTAAGCCAGATACAGCTACGGGCAGTACTGTATCTGTCTGCGGCCTGTCAGTTTCTATGAAGAGCATTTCAATGACACATGTATGGATGTATACAGATAAAGTCTCTGCTTAAAAATAACTGCTTATTCAGCAATGCAGAGAAGAAGATAGTTTCTGAATGGTCGCTATTGATTTGTGTATTTTGCACATTCTCACAGTTCTTTGCACAGCTTTATTGGATAAACACACTAGGATATGTACTATAACGGGTTGCTTTTCACTGAGCTTTGACAATGGAATTTTTTATTTTAGATGCAACAGCTCTCAGTAGATCTGGAGAAGAATGTGGCAGAGATGCCTTCTAAAGGGTTGAATCAACAATTTAACTCCCCCTGCACAGGTAACTGCAGTTATTGTTTTGTGTTTTTACAACTACCTCGGCCTTTTGTCTGTAAAATAGATACCAACTTCTGATAATTAATTTTTTCATTGATATATAAATAACAGATTGCCTGGGCCTTATTGCAGCAAAGTGGTATCAGCAGAGCCAAGCAGCCTAATTAGACTAAAAATGGCTGCACCCATGATAGGCCACTGATCACAGGATTTTGGTTGGTGATTTAGATTTTCCTTCTTGAAATATCTGGACTTGGGTTAAATTGGAGAATTGCTTCCATCTTAAAGTGTATGCCAGGGCAAAAAACAAAAACAAACCCAACAACATTCAGCCCATTCCTGTATGTGTATCCTCTTGCAACTACAGAAAAATACCTGCCGATTACCTGACAGTGATGCATCTACTGCATTGAAATCCCAACCAGTATTGCCAGAGGGCCAGGTATCCCCTGACCCTCTGTGTCCCTCTGCACATGCATACACTGATTTCTTTCCCAGCTGCTGCCTTCATTCCCTAAAGCTTGTCCACGCACTATAAGGGGTCTATTCACGAAGCTGCAGAAGGATCTAGCCGTAGCTTCGGCCGATCCTTCGGCTAGCTTTGGCCCCAGGACCCCTTCGGCTCAGTAGAACTGAAGGGGTGCTGTACGGGCTATTCACTATAGCCCGTACAGCTCCCGAACGTGGCCCAGCGGCTCAGTCGAGCCGAACGCATATGCCATCAGTCCATCAGCAGAGGGCGGGTACAATGCTAGTTTACTATTGGCTATTGCAAATTGAATTAGCCAATAGGAATCTAGCAATGCAATCCAATGGGCAAACATTTTTTTTTTCTATTCTGACATGGCTCCGTGTCAGAATAAAGAAAAAAAAAGAAAAAGCAGTGTTTCTCTCCTGGGCGGCCGGGAGTGGGAGGCTCCCAAGGTGCCCGGGAGAGGTTTTTTGTCGTTTTTTTTTACGTCAGCAGAACCGTCGGACAATAGAAAACAGTTGGGCGGAGCTAGCTCTGAGGGATCGAGCAGAACAGCCGAGCCAAATGCCGCTCAGCGGCATTCGGCTATTCACTCACTGCTGTTCGGCATCTATAAGAATAGGCCGAACAGCAGTGAGTAGCCTGCCGGAGGTTCGGCTCAGCCGATCCAGATGTTGGATCAGCTGAGTCGAACTCCTTCTGCACTTCGGGTCTGCCGAACATGCTCAGCACGAAGCCATGCAAAGCAAGCCAATGTATGGCTGATTTCAGCCGATATACGGCTGAAATCAGCCATACCACCCTGAAGTGAATAGCCGAACAGTGTTCGGCTCACTTCACTTCAGGTCGGTCATTCACTCGGCTGCCTACGGCAGCTTAGTGAATAGACCCCTATGTGTAGGGAAAGGGCTCTTAAGAGATGTAGTTCTGGGGGCATGCCTACGCCAATACGAACTATGCTTTTAGCAGCTGCCCCTGCAAGAATTTCCAAGCCTCATAATAATATCACAGGAGGTAATAAAAGCTATTCTCACGACACAATATAAGAAACAAATATTACTGGGGCATGATCTAGGAAGAAAAAGAGGTTTGGGGACAATTGTAGGTAATGCCTGGACATGCACTTTAAGTAGCCAGAGCATTTACTTATCAGTAAGGACCTTAGGGCACTAGAAGCTAGTAAACATCTAAAGGTTTTCTGTATGCTCACTAAGCTAAATATGATACCTTTCACTAAAGCACTCACTTAACACATAAGCACTTAAGGTAGCCGTACATGGCTTGGATTTTGGCTGATTTCTGCTAAATCGTCTGATATTCGAGCAGTGGGTAGCCCTATTAGCACCACATGGCTTCTCAAACTTCGATTTAAAAATCGAAGGGGCCCAGGTGGAAAATTGTCAGTCCAATTAGATTCAGTCACTGGTTGGGTATTCAGACTGGTTGGATATTCAGACAGCTATGGGCAAAATGAGAGAAATCTATGCATGTTTGGCTAGCTTATGACACCACTGTTTTTAGCCAACATTCAACGGACCATTTCTTAGCCTAAGCCTTTAAGTATTGGGATGAGGAGCTTCAGACATGAGGTTTACATCAAAGATGCAGTTGTAGGACTATCTCCATGTTATAGTACTACTTTAACTGTATGCATGTATTTTACTTTGTAATATGAGGTGGCATCTTAGCACTGTGTGTCTCATCTGAAATGTATTGGATTTCAGATTATTTGATTAGCATTCCATATGTTATATTATTAATTTATACATATTTTCTGCTCTTGTCTTCTCAGGAAAAGAAACAGAGCTTGAGAACACAGTCCCTTTCCTGACAGAAGAGATGGTTAATTTATCAGGGTCCTCATCCCTTTTTGGAACAGATGACAGCGTGGTGTCTTACCTCTCAGGTGGGATAATTCCAGGAGACACTGCCCTTAACCTGCACCCAACAGAGGATAGAAATTAGTGACCTTTACATCTAACTATATGTTATAAATAAGAGTGCCTTTTTACAGGACCGCTGTATGTTTCAAAAATGAAAATGAACCTTCTGCACTGTATAACTAGACTATGAGGTTCTCCATACAAGAGTTTTAGTTTCTTAGTGGTACATTGGATGTGGCCCATGTCAGTCAATAATATGAATTCTGTACTCTCTTATGCCCTCCCTTTAGTGCTTTTTCTGCCAGTTACTGCCGATGTGAGTGTTCAGAGACATATTTGAACAATGATTAAATCAGGTTGAACTCATAATTCGACAGTTCACCTTCCCGGTATATCATATGAGGCTGGGAGAGCAAAATAAGCACTTGGTGTAGCTGGAAAGACTGGAAAGGCTCATGCAGATAATTTTAACAAAAGAGTGAGAACAGAAGAAAAAATAAAACTTTATCTAAGCCCAAAAGAGCAAAAGATTAAAGGCATTCTCCACCTGTTGGCCCATGCTTCATGTTACACCCATATTTAGTGTGACATGAATCATGGTTGCATTCCCCAACACCCTCAACTCATCCCCTAAATACCTGAATAGCGGGGTGCTTCTCCCTGCAGCATTCTGTTGTTTTTTACATTTACCGCAGCAGGATGAAGAGATAAGTGCACTTGTAGTCTATAGTTTACTGCCTCTAGCCCATAACAGAAGGTTAACCTGGGCCTTGGGGTAAACAATGCAGGAGACTGTGCATTGCACCCCTGATGAACTGATCATTGTTGCAATGCTCAGCAGTGTCAAATGCAAAAATGCCATTAATGTGAGGTCATTTGTTACATTAGACTATGCCTTTAATGTATTGCAGCCTGCCAGTCCTTAGATGTGGTGGCTGCATTATGTTTTTTAGGGTTTTTTTCCCTTGATTTTCACCTGGTCATCCAACCAACAACACGCTTCCTGTCCTAGGGTGGCAGCACTTTACTGACTGTGCTATATGTATCTATGGAGGAACAGCGTTGTCACCCTAGGACAGGAAGTGGGTTAGAACTACAGAACAAACGTGAAGATTCCTTGCCGCACTCCTTACCGGGAAGCCTCAAATCAGATGAGGGTAGTATAAAATAAATGGATGTCACCAGCACACCAATAGTATTGCAGTCCAAAAGTGTTTCTTTATTGGAACGTCATGTCACCAGTTCTGGTGCCATGGCATTCCAATAAAGAAACACCTTTGGACTGCAATACTATTGGTGTGCTGGTGACAACCATTCATTTAGAACTACAGAACACACTCTTCTTATTTGCATTACACAGGGTGGGGAGTATGGTTGTTCTGGAGTTCAAGGGTGAACTGAGCAGTGCCAAAATCAGAATTCTCTACAATTCTCTACAATATAAAAACAATATGCTTTCAGTGGTATATTTAACAGACCAAAAGGGAACAAATAAGAGAGGGTCATTGTTAGGGAATACATCCACTTTAAGCAATGTGCATCTGCAGATGTGATAAAGAAAATAATATTATGTAGCTGCGTGTGGAGAACCTCTTTACATACAAACACCAATCTATCATATTAACAGTCTATTTCATTCCTGTTGCAAATCCATATTGGAATGGAGCTGAGGAGCCGTCAATTAAAGGTGTTAAAGCTGTACTGTAGAATATATATTCTATAGTACAGCTGCCAATTTTTAAAAACATAGTAAAAACACAGCTGATGTGTCAGGATAACTTATATATGCTTACTTTGGTTAAGGACTACTGTTGTGAAAAATATTCTGGTAATTTTATGTGATAAATACTTGTAAAAATAGTATTCTCCTCATATTCCTGCATACCAAGCTGTCCAGTAAAGGGGACAGTGACAGAGGTTAGGACAGACTGTAACACTGGGTGTTTACAATGGTCTTCTTTTAGACTCACAGTTTAAATCTTTCTTTTAAAAAAAGAAAACAACCTTCATTGTTAACAGAATCCAATATTTTTCACAATAGTGGTCCTTTAATCAGATCTGTTAAGACCTACTTTAAAGGGTCTATTTATAAACAATTAACAGGGGCATTCAACCTGCAAATTTCTGTAAACATTCTCTCGGTGCAGATATATGACAAAACAAACCATCTTTGTTTGTTTTTTCTTTACAAGTGGAATACATTTTCAAATGTTTTCATGTAATATCAAATTATGGCCACTAGATGGAGTTAAAGAGCATAGGAACTAAGTATTTGTTTTCTATGATCCTCACTGCCATCTAGTGCCCATTGTATTCAATATTACATTAACAAAAATACAAATACATTCCCTTATAAAGAAACAACTAAAGAGCATTAATTTTGGCATGCATCTGCATAGAACATTTTTTCACAGATAGATAGACCCCTTGGTGATAGTTGACTGCTGGATCTACTGGACTCCAAGCCAAAGATCTGCTATGCTGAGATGGTTTACCTTAACTACCAAATGTTATATATTGCAGAAGGTTACTTTTCAGCAGGGAGGGGTGGATTCTGGGTGTGCACGACAAACACGTCCAGGTTTGAATGTATGAAAAGAACGGGATTCAGGTAACATTTTTGGACAAGAAAAATAGCATGAAAATGTTGGGCCTCTTTCAGTGCCATTAATATTTTGCACACAAATATGTTTCTCGTGGCCCTGAAAGAGACAATGACATAATCATGGTTAATTGATGCTGTTTAACTGAGGCCCTTCTTCTACTTTCCGCTGCCATGATGAGAAAAGGATAGGGGGTTCTACTGAATGTAATGAGTTACCTGCCGTGAGCCGCTAAGGATTCTGGGAAACGCTGGTAATTTTTTTTGTAGCATTTTGAGATCAAAGTCGGTTATAATTATTTTTTAACAAAGTTGAGCTTTGTTCTTTTTATATGCCTATATATATTTAGACAAGCATGTGTACATATATACATATACAGTCATGGCCCAAAATATTGGCACCCCTGCATTTCTGTCAGATCATGCACCAGTTCGCACAGGAGATTGTTGCACTTACAAATGTTTAGGCATTCTCATGTTTATTTCTTTTGTTTGTATTGGTATGATGCAAAATTTAGCAGCTTTTTGACAAAACAAAATGACAGCTTTTTTGGTGCAGCCCATCATTCTTCTGTTTTCAGAGAAAAGAAATGAGGCCTTTAAAGTAAAAAATCCAGTCCCTACAGTCACACATGGTGGAGGTTCACTGATGTTTTAGGGTTGCTTTGCTGCTTCAGGCACTGGATGTCTTGGCTGTGTGTGCATGGTATTATGAAATCTGAAGACTACCAAAGTATTCTGGGGTGCAATGTAGTGCCCAATGTCAGAAAGTTGGGCCTCCGTCAGAGGTCATGGGTCTTACAGCAGGACAACGACCCAAAGCACACGTCAACAAGCACCCAGAAATGATTTCAGACAAAGCGCTGGAGAGTACCGGACCGGCCAGCAATGAGTCCAGATCTGAACCCCATACAGCTCCTGTGGAGATTGGGAAAAGGAACCCTTCCGATCTGAGAGACCTGGAACAGTTGGTGATATAAGAGTGGTCCAAATTCCCTATAGAGAGGTGTAAGAAACTCATTGATGGTTACAGGAAGCGATTGATTTCAGTTATTTTTTCCAAGAGCTGTGCTACCAAATATTAATAATTATGTCCAGTCCATTTTTAGAGTTTTGTGTCGAATGTGTCAGATTTGGCTTTTTTTCGCCACTTTTTTGTCTCATACAATACAAACAAAAGAAATAAACATGAGAATGCAGAAACATTTGTAATTGCAACAATTTCCTGCACAAAGTGGTACATTATCTGACAGAAATGCAGGGGTGCCAATATTTTGGCCATGACTGTATATCTACACAAAGTGGACATTTACACATATCCAGGATCTTAGCACTTGTGTTTAGTATTTATAAGGTTATAAGTATATATGGATCTTTGAATTCTTGCAGTATTAGAATCTTTTCCTATATTACTGAGATTGATTGTAAACTGATGCCATTCTACATGTTAACCCCTTCAACATCAGAGCATTACCATCTTCTCCCCTGCTTCCTACATTTAGGTCAGGGCTTCCTCCGCCGGTTCCCTGACCTATATCTGACACATGGAGGGTAAATAACAGGGTTTATCTATGTTTTCTAATAGGCATATTTTGAATTCTGCTGCTAAATATGTGGGATAAACAACTGAAATGGAAGACATAATGCAGTCAGGCTTATTAAATACGAAGGGCAGTGACCAATCAAATCTAACTCCGATTAGTGAAAGATTGATTCTGATTGGTTGCGGTGGATTACTGTGGAGTATTAAATAAGCCTGTATGTGTTATGTGACTATATTATACATATAGTAAGTATGACTTCTCTTCTTCCACACTGTATACAAGGCTACGAAAGGTTTTATTTGAAGCTTAACTCCAGACAACCAGCTAAATACACAGATACAATATATACATGCGAGTTGTTTTACCTGCAAAATGATTTGAATACCTGTCCATCCAGTCCTGTCGTTTACACAGCTTTACCACACAACACAGCCCTGTCAATCAGGAGAGCGAAGCTGATCATTCTCTGCTGCAGTTTCACTTTCACTTAGAGGTTCCACCCCCACTCTGTTACTGGATAGTGGACCGAGAACTAGCACATTGATTAGCTCAGTTCTGTTATTCTGTTCTCTCCTTCTACCAGCATGCTCCTTGCACTGCAGCACACCGGATTGGCTGATTATGCTGCTTCTTTTCCACCTCTCTGGGCTCTGCTTTACAGTAGACTGCAGGAGGCTAAGTCAAATTCAGGTGCTTACACTACTTGTGTTTAAAAAATGCATTTGATGGTGTATTCATGGTTACATAGCTGTATATTTGTGCCATGTATGACTGGCTGGAGTTCAACTTTAATAGGAGATTATCAAAGGCAAGGGTGTGCTGTAGCCTGTTCATCCAATCAGAAACCCGGTACTTCAAGTTTACTGGAGCCACTCTGTCAGATTCCAATTTGTATTTGGGTGCTGCAAACTAACACTGGCCATAAACACCTCGAAT